GGAGAGTGTTGGGCACTGCCCCTTCTGCCAGCGGCTCTTCATGGTGCTGCTGCTCAAAGGGGTGCCCTTCACCCTCACCACCGTGGACGTGAAGAGGTGAGTGGTGGTCCTCTCCCAAAGGGTGCCAGTCCTCGGGCCAGGGCCATGGGCAGGGTAGGTGGGTGGTATGTCCCCAACAGTGTGGGAAGGGTTGTGTGAAGGGTGGGCACTATGGCATGCACGGAGCTTGTTGTACCCCTCCAGGTGCCCACCACTGCCTGGGGAGGGTAGTGGGCAATTTCCCTAGGCACACACAGAGGCAGGAGCAGCCTAGGGGCACCACTTCATCCCTTTGCTTGGGACACACATGCACATATGAACATGCACACACGCACACACACGTGCATGGGGCCAAGCAGAGCCCTGGACATGCCAGACATCAGCAGCATCTCCATCTCCCGCAGGGCACTGGATGTGCTGAAGGACTTCGCACCAGGTGCCCAGCTGCCTGTTCTGCTCTACAACGGCGAGCCCAAGACTGACACCATGATCATCGAGGAGTTCCTGGAGGACCAGCTGGGCCCCCCCACGTCAGTATCCAGTGCTGCCCTGAGAGGACGAAGGGGCCAAAGAGGGGCAGGACAGCCTGAGAGAGGAGGGGGCTGACAGCATGTGAGCCTGTTGGCCCCTGCCATCTGCCTCAACGGTGCCCACATCCCCACAGGTGCCCCAGTCTGGTCCCGCAGTACCGGGAGTCGAGCCTGGCCGGGAACGACATCTTCCACAAGTTCTCCGCCTTCATCAAGAACCCGGTGCCTGCCCAGGACGAGGGTGAGGATTAAGTAGGGAAGCATCCTGTGCATCTTTTCAAGTGTCAACCCCCTCAAAGCCTATCCTGGTCACACCGAGCGCCCTCAGTCCTCCCCATCTATGTGGGTCAATGTCAGGTCTCTGTGGGAGGGCAAGGAGCAGGTGCCAGCCTGGGTAAGGTGGGTGCTGCCTGGGCACAGGGCTGTGCTGGCAGGGGGGCACGGCAGAGCAGGAGTCCCTGCCTTGACCCAGCTGCCCTCCCCACAGTGCTGCAGCGGAGCCTGCTGCGGGCCCTGCTGAAGCTGGATGAGTACTTGCGTGCCCCTCTGGACCATGAGCTGGCCCGGGACCCCAGCCTCCGGGCCTCCCAGCGACGCTTCCTTGACGGAGACCACCTCACGTTGGCCGACTGCAACCTGCTGCCCAAGCTCAACATTGTTCAGGTAAGCAGGGGCATCCCGGCACCCTGCCCTTCTCCTTTCCCTGGCATCTCCATTCCACTGGCCCCATGGTCTCACTTTCCTCTTGGTGCCTGTAGCAACCCCCGGCTCCTTTCACAAATGCTGTCAGCCCTTTGTCCTCTGGCATCCTTCTCCCCAGGAGCCCCGCCCAGCAAAGTGCCTTCCCAGAGATCCCATTCCCCTCTACATCCCCTCCTAAGTGCCAGCCTTCACCTGTGCAGTGCTGGGGATGTCCACTGGCCCCCTGCCTTCCTTCCCAGCTGGTTCCTTTCCTAGCAGCTGGGCCCTCCTTGACACACCGTACCAGGCACAGTTCCCTCTGTTCCTGCCCACAGGTCGTGTGCCAGCACTACCGCCACTTCGGGATCCCCAAGGACCTACGGGGGGTGTGGCGGTACCTCAACAGTGCCAGTGAAACCAAGGAGTTCAAATACACCTGTCCCAACAGCCAGGAGATTGTACAAGCCTATCGCTCCGTGGTCCGTGCACCACAGTGAGCTGGGTATGCACCCCAGTGGGTGCAAGGCCAGGGTTGGGGTCAGGCAGGAGGTCAGTGCCCACCCCATTCCTGCCAGCATGCACTTGGGAGAGCAGAGCATGAGCTGTGCCCCTGGCACCCAGGTGCTAGCAGTAATCTGTGGTGCACTGAGCCCCCTTTGTGCCACCCTCTCTCCCAGCCAGGACATGCTCTGTCCTGGGACTGGGGGCAAGGGGGCAAAGCCATGGGCACCATCAGTGCCAAAGCTGGGCCCTGCTGTGGGCAGGGGCAGAGCTGGGGAGGACAAGCTGCCCAGAGCACAGGGCAGCCCTGCAGCCTCTTGTGTGGGCACGTCAAGCCACCCTCTCATGAGGGTCCAAGGCCCAGCTGCGCCTGGGCAGCAGGCACTGCAGGATACCCTCACACCTGCACTGGGTGAGGGGACCCAGCATAGCCATGGAGAGCCCTGAGAACAGAGCTGGCAGGGGATGGCAGAGGCAGTGGGCACGGGCCAGTTCGCAGCACCCTGGGTGAGGGTAGCAGAGGGTACCAACTCCCCAGAATCTGCGGTTAGTCTGCTCTCAGGAGCAGATTTGGGGGTTGTGAAGTGGGGCAAGCCCAAGCCAAGCTTCAGAGCTCCTGGAAATCAATAAAGGCTTTGCAAGCAAGACCAGCGTGAGTTTGGAGTGACACACCAGCAGCTCTCCGTTACAGGGCTTTGCACTGACCTCCACTCTCTCTCCCAGTGCCAAGCAAGGCAGAGTGCATCCTCCCAGCTCTCTGGAGGGGTTGGGCGGGCTCTAACCGCCCATCTGCCAACCCACTTGCAAAAAGCTGGCAGGGAAGGAAACTTCTCTGAGTCCTGGACCTCCGGGTTCAGCTGAAACTGGTCCAAGGCTTCCTGGGAAAGGGAGAGGCAGAATACACCGACACATCCACGGAGACTGGCTGGCTAAAAACACCTTTACTGGAAAGAAGATAAGCACAGGCAATCCTTCCATTCTGCAGTGATACAAAAGTTCCTTCCAAACCCCACCAATTCAAGGAAAATGAAGTCAAGAGGTGGCGCCTGCCAGCAGGGAAGAGCTGCTGGGAAGAAAGCAACCACTGGTGTCTCCTCAAAGGCCCTGCCACCACCCCAGCGGAGGGTCAGCTGCCATGTGCTGATGGCTTTGTTGCCTCCCTGGGTGCGAGGGGCTCAGCTGGCCCCAGACACAGGGCACTCTCTCCTCCACTCACGCACATTGCTGATAGGGCTCCACAGGGCTGTCATCAGGGCACAGGACAGCACCGCTCAGGAGTCCTCGAAATTCACCCCAGATGGTGCTTTCTTGCTGGGAGGAGATGGAGGGAGCATCAGAGCCCCAAGCCCCATGCCCGAAGCAGGGCCCATGGGGTCCCTGTGCAGCCAAGTCCCAGCACTGACCTTTTGAAACCAGGGTTAATGAGAGACTCCCCCGGGACCTTCCTTTTGGCTGGTAAAGCTGAGCCAGCAGCCCTGTTCTTCCTGGGGCTGCGGTCTGCCTCAGTCAAGGATAGGCAGGATGCAGATTGCAGGTCAGCCAGGTGTTCTGTCAGCCCTACCAGTCCCTCCAGGGCCAGGGTGAGCTTCCAGCAGCCCAGCCTGGCAGGGCCAGCAGCCATGCTCCCAAAGGAGCCATGGACCTGCCCCGGCCCCCAGTCTGGAAGTACAGCAAAGCCTGCCTTTCTTCCGAGGCTGGTGATGACCAGCCTCTGACCTGAGCACCCCAGATACCCCGAGAGCCACCACAGTGAGCCCTGCCCCTGCTCTGTCGGGAAGGGCACCAGGACAGTGGGTACCTGACAGCAGCCACAGCCGAGGGCACTCGGTGTGTGCTGAAGAGCACATGAACACAGGACCAGCAGCCTCCGGGAAGGAGAAGGTAGGACAGCAGGACCAGGGCAGGTGCTCCTGGCAGTGCCTACCTGGCAGGAAGAGCTGCTGGCTCTGGGCAGTATTCCTCTGAGGGCTGCAGGAAGATGCCAGTGTCTCCACGGCTGCTGAGACAGGAGCCAGAGCCACAGCTTGTGACAACACACCCCAATACAGCATGCAGCACCCCAAGCCTCCCCAGCTAAACTGAGGCCTGTTCTCCTCTCAGCGCTCCCACCCAAACTGCTGCTGCCACAAAATCTTCCCAGACCCCTCAGAGATGTCTGTAAGGCGACTCCCACATTCAGGATGCTGGTGTGGTGCTGGCCATGAGGACAGGGCTGTGTTTCCACCCAGAGACACACCACTGTGTCCTCTGGGCCCCAGCAGGGATCCTCTGCCTGGGGGCTCTGGTGAAGACCCTGGCCACCTTTAGGAACTGGCCAACTGAACGGGGAAGCGATGGCAGCAGCTCTGCTGCTGGTCCACTGGGACTGGTGAGGAGAAAGCACCTGATGTGATACTCGGGAGGCAAAGCCCTCTCCCGCTGAGAGGCCCAAGGCTGAGCTGGGGCACGTGGGGTACTTTGGGTGGGGGTGACGATCCCATGAAGGTGGCAGGAGCTACCGGCCCTCCCCCTGTCCTCACACCTTCCAAACCCACCACGGACCTTCCAGGCGCCTCTCCAAAGTCTCGATGCATCCGGCCATGCCGAACACCAGCGCCTGCAGCTGGCTGCGCGCCTCAACGGCGGGCAGCTGGGCGAGGGCGACGGCCGGGCACCGCGGCTCCTCCGGCATCCGCAGCGTGGCCGAACCCGGGCCCAGGCTCAGCTCAGCGGCCCCGCGCCCCAGGGCGGCCCTGCAGGGATAGGGGACGAGGGGAGCGGGGAACAGGGCGAGTCCAGGATGAGGGGAGCCCGGGATGAGGGAAGCCGAGGATAGAGGGTGTCGGGGCGGCGGCACCCACCTGAGCATCGCGCCGTGCTCCTCCGGCGGGCACCGCTGCAGAGAGGGGAGGAGGAGGAGGAGGAGAGCATGTTCGACACGGCCTAACCCGGGCCCATCCCCGCCCCACTGGCACCCCGGGCCTCAGGCCCGAGCCCCACCGCCGACCCCGGCCCCGGTACATACGCAGCCAAACGCCGGACAGCCGCCGAGGTCCCCGGCCCAGACCTCCATCGCGTCGGTTACACTGCGGGAGGCAGCGGCTCAGGCCGGGGCTGCTCGACCCCCGCCCGGCCCCGCTCCCGTTCCCGGCCTCCGCCCGCTCTCACTAGACAGCGCCGCCGGGCCGGCAGTAGCAGAGGAACCGGTCCGGCCCGGCTCGCAGCACGTGGAAGGGCCCGGCCGGTTCCGCCATCGCCGCGCCGGAAGGGGCGGGCGCGAGCGGCGGGTCCCGCCCGAGGCCGCGACAGGAACCAACAGCTCCGCCATGGTGAACTTGGGGCTGCGGCGGGTGGAGGATGATGTGGCAGCCAAGCACCCGGTGCGCCCTGCGGGGGACGGGCTGGGGGGCCCGGTTGTGCCGGTGGGGCTGGGGCTGCGGGGGCCGGGCAGAGCCCGGCTGTGCCGGTGGGGCCGGGGCTGAGAGGGCCGGGCAGGGCTCCAGCCCCGGCGCTGACGCGTCCCCGCAGGCGCTGCAGCAGTACGCGGCTTGCCAGTCCCACGCCTTCATGAAGGGCATCGGCACCTTCCTGGCAGGTACAGCCCCGTCCAGCCCCCCTCCTCGGTTGTCTCCGGCCGCTCCCCGGGGGCAGCGGGGACGGCCCGGCTGTGTTCGGTAACCCCGGCCCCGGTCTCGGCAGGCAGCGGAGCCACCTTCGCCGTGCAAAAGCTGGCGCGGCAGAAGCTGCCGTACAGCCCGCAGTGGAGCCTGCTGCTGGCCGTGGGTGAGTGCCTGGCCCGGGTGGTGCTGCGGACAGAGAGGTGTTTGCCCTTGCTGTGGGGGGCTCATCCCTAGCTTCGGTCACCTCTCGACGCCCCGGCCCCGCGGGTTCCGGAGGGTTCTTGGGCAGCTGCATCAGATGCTGTCCCCACCAAGGTGCTGCTGGCGCTGTCAGAAGCACCTCGGCCTCCCCAGCCGCAGGGTCCCTCGCGAGCTATGTGGTAACCAGAGCTGAGACACAGAAATGCTCCGACTTCTGGATTTATCTGGAGACAGGCAAGTCCCCACAGCAGCTCGCCGTGACTGGTGGGGTGTCTCAGCCCACAGGTACGTTCACACCTCCCTGTTGCTTTCCCCAGGCTTGTCGTGCTTGGTTCTTCCCTGCTGCAATAATTAGTTTGCTATTCCTGTCTCATAATTAAACCGGTGACTGTGTAATTGCCAAAATCTCAATGTAAGCCCCACACTGGCACACTGCATCCGAGGAGTGGGAGCAGAAGGACATGTGGTGGCTGGAGCTCCCTACCTGATCTCATAGTTCCCATGTCCCGCTGTGTTCTGGGCACAGCGGTACCTGAGCAGACCTGGAGATGTGAGCTGGGTGCACTCGCTGCTAACTGCTAACTGGTGCCCTGCCTGCTTTGGGGATTCACAAGAGCCAGCATGAAGGGCTCGTTTGCTGGAAGAGGACGGAGAGGGTAAGGGATGGAGAGAGCAAATGAGGTGCAGAGAGGTTTGCTGCTCCGTAGAGTGGATAGAGCTGGAGGGGCACTAAGAGAGGCACTGGACAGTTCCCATGGCTGCTTGCTGCTCTCTGTCACATGTACCTTGAGCTCCCAAAGCCCCTTGAGGTTCCAAAGTTGGGCCCACCTGAAGAGGCTTTAAACACTTCACTAGGGCTCTGTGGTTCTCTCTCTGCCCGCCCTTGGCAAACACACCAGGGTAGTTGGAGGTCCAGGAAGCTTGTACTTTCTGTTGCAGAAAATCTGCTCAGCACAGAGGACAGGGACAGCGTCGCACTGCCGGTGAGGAGGAACAGGTACGGGGATGTGGTGGAGTAGCCGTCAAAGCACAGCACTCTGTACCCGTGTCCCACTTCAGCCCCTGCTGCCTGCCCAGCCTGTCGCTGCCCATGCTGCCTGTGCATCTGGTAGGCTTGATGGCACTGTTGGGAAGCTCAGAGGATTTGATCCTGCAGTGAGAGTGTGGTGGAGGCACCACAGGGATCACTGCTGCCCACCTCATGGCCTCTGAACATTGCACTGAGGGTACAATAAAAGTCAAGAACTGAAGGTGCTCATTGTGGATGAGGTGAAGGCCAGCAGTGGGACAGGCAGAGCAGGTGGTGAATGTCACCCCGAGGGAACAGGTGGCACTCACACTCTCTTGGCACGTGGATTGCTGCGAGCTGGCTCTAGGCATGGGCAGGTCTGGGCTAAGCTACGAAGGCAGAGCTGTTATTGTGTGCTTTCTGTACCCTGAGCCCAGCCAGTCCCCATGTCCCTACCCCTGCAGCAGCAAGGCTTTTCCCACCCACCTGAACAGGGCCGGGCTGAGCCCCATAGCTGGGTGGCCTCTGGGGTATCCTCTGCCCCTGCAACAGGGGTGACCATGTGCCCAGGGCCCCTCTCTGTGGTGCCCACCTATCACTGGCCAGGGCACGTCATCTGGCCAGTCCCAGATTGCCCATCCAGATCCATAACCAGTTGGCAAGGATATGGTACCGTCTCAAATCCCATGCACAGAGAGGGGCATGTGGGGTTTTTCCTAATGTCAGACTCCAAGTCCTAACTAGGTGAACTGGCTGCTCTTGGTGGATGTCCAACTCTGATTCAACTGCATCTGAATTTCTTAGAAGAGGAAATGCAGCCTGGATTCTGGAAGGTACCTGGGTTCTTAGAGCAGTGTTTCAGCTTCAGGGACCAGAAGCGCCTCTTCCTTCCATGTGAGATGTGGAGACAGACCCTGAGCCTCACTCCACCATGGGAGGGAGTCCCTGTGATGGGGAGGTGAGGAGTCTGGGGAAGAAACTCGGGTTTAAGGGTTCAGAACATCATCTGAACTGCAATCAGGTTTGCCTTGTGCAGAGAGATGGGGAGCAGCCAGCGGAACAGCTGAAAATGAAGTGCTGCTGGGAATGGGTGGGTTAAGCCAAGCACAGCATTCCAGGAGCTCAGCCAGAGCAAGGAAGGGTGTTGGGAAGTGAGCAGACCTACTCACCAGAGCTCGTGCTGCCGGCAGGAGCAAGGAGGGCAGCAAGAAACCACAGCTCCCTACAGCCACTCCTCTCTGGAGTGTCTGGGGAACGTGCAGGACGGGGGGAGGCTTCCTGGTGGACTGGAGAGCTGGGACTGGACCCACACAGCTGTCAGGTGCCAGATGTGTCACAGTGTCTCTGAGCTGCCAGTGACTGTACCAGGAAATGTGGGTGCCCTGCTTGGGCACCAGCACTGGGGCCCGGGAGTGGAGGCCTGTCAGCAAGTTGTCCGTGCATGGGAGCTGTGGCAGTGAGGGGCAGCTTGAGCGCTACCTGCTCCTGGCTTTGGGGTGACTGCACCTCCAGTTACTGGGAAACTTGAACTCGATGACTGTGGCTACGTGGAACTCCTCCATCTCCAGGTGGCCCTTGGACTGGAGTGAGGTTTCCAGCCCACCTCAGTCCATCTTGGGGGGTCTCCAGGCTGGTACAAACAAACAAATAAAGTCATGATGGTGTCCCAGCACTGGATGGGCTGGAAGGGATAAGGCCTTCGGGCAGAGCCTGACCCTGGCTCTGCCGGGCTGATCTGCCTGTTGCTGATCAGGAGCCACCAAGCCATAGCAGTGGTTACAAAGGTTTATTTCAGATTATAAAAAAACCCCCAAACAGACAAAAATCAAAGCTTCTGCATGTTTGCATGTCCCTGTTCTTAACTGGAAATGAAGATGCATCCCCCCCAGCTGCCCGGCATAGGGTGTTGGCAGGCTCAAATCCCAGTGCAGAGCAAAGCCCGACTCCCACAGCAAGCCCATCGCCTCTGTGCTGGCCATGGCCATGCACCACGGAGCTGCCGGCACCGGGGGATGGAGGAGTGGCAAAGGCAAGTCTAGCATAGGAACCACAGGGATGGGGAAGGCACCATGTGTGGTTGCTGAAGTGGGACCTGGAAGCTGCTGGCTCCCCACATCTTGTTGTTGTTAAGCCCTTACCCGAAGCTGAGAGCAGTGGAAGTCTAGGCCAAGATTTGGCCTTCAGGAAGGTCAGTGGGGTTTGTGTGCTGGCCAGAAAGACAAGTGTGGGCTCTGGGTGCTGCCCAGAGCTCCCCAGGACGCAGGGCTGTTGCTCCAGGGACAGGCTAGCAAAGTCAGCTGTAAAGACTGGTATAAATAATATTCCCCACCCACCTCCATACAAATGAAAATAAATCCTACTGTTGCCTTGGCTCACTGGCCCAGTCCAACTCAGTTCTGGTGGCAGAAAGATGTCCCAACTCTGAATGTCCCATTCCCAAACCTGCTGCCGCGTCCAGTAATGCTGGGAAACCCTTCCTCTTATGTCCCTCCTTTCCTGCAGCTTGAGGGCAAGGGGAGGGCAAAAGGGGACAGCTTTCCTTCTGGGACAGTGTCAGGCCTTGGAAAGAGGACACTGAGCACTCACTGCATCCCAGGTGTTCAGACCATGGAGACTCCAGCAGGTAGGATGGTGCTGGGTCCTGCAGACATGGCCCACCCAGTCCCCACCATCAGATCGCACTGGACTTGCTGCGCCGGAGCAGGCAGACGGCAGTAACCAGGGACGTCAGGGTGGTAACCACAAAGAGCAGGATGAGGAGGACCCAGTAGTTGTACAACATGCTTTTGTTGTAGGAGGGCTTCTCTGCCGGGATCATGTTGGTGAGGTTCAGCATGTAGCCCAGGGCCCAGCCAATGGAGGTTTCTCCTGCCTGTGGAAAGAGCATGGCATGGTCAGCCAGCCAGCCAGCCCAGCTCTGTGGGCCTCAGGAGACCTTAGATGTCTTTTCTAACTTTAATGATTCCATGATTCTAAGATCATGGAGTCCAACCACTAACCCAGCACTGCCAAGGCCACCACTAAACCATGTCCCCAGGTACCACATCCACATGTCTTTTAAATCCCTCCAGGGATGGTGACTGTTGCTTCTCTGGGAAGCCTGTTCCAATGCCTTAA